GAACTAACCTCGTTATCTCCATACTGATTTATACCTGCCTCTGGAGATTTCCATTACTTGCATCTGAAGAAGTGAGGTTCTTACCCACGAAAGCTTATGCTCCCTATACTTCTGTTAGTCTCAAAGGTGCCACAGGACCCTCTGTTGCTTTTTACAGATTCAGACTAACACGGCTACCCCTCTGATACTGTAACATAGAGAAGCACCGAGCCCTTTATATTTAAATGATTACCTCCAGGCATCTTTGATTTCCCTCTTTCAATCTAAGTTCCCTAACTGAATACTTTATTAACTGTCTACTTTTACTGACTTGCTTTACTGGTTAACAGAGATGCAAACCCCATTGACCAACTTCAATCCTGAGCTACTCCCATCAGAATCAATGAGAGCTATACCCTCTGTTCCCAGGGCTGAATTTGGGCTTATGAACGTCACATCACAGCCTTGATTCTACCTTGCTCCAAGTTCCAGCTAGTTGTAGTAACCCAGTACACAGTTAGCATCACACCAGTGGAATACAGAAGGCATTAAAAGGTTGGTTAATTAGCGCAAATCCCTGTCTCCTGGAACAAACTCTTATGAGCAATTGATCTCAAGTGGAATAAAAGTATAGTCCATACAAAAAGCTACTTTAAAAGAATGTTAAATGTACAAAATGAAGCAATGAAAATGTCAAAGTTTGTCTATACCATAGTCTTTATAATGGAAATACAAACACATAGGTACATTCCTGACACAAAGGACACTTACAAAGTCAAGCACTCAAAATTTAGGTAACACAAAAATGAAAGTGCCTGTGCAAACTTAATTTGCCCCATTTGTAGTATGCATTATGATACAGTCTTTAATTATTGATCATTACTAGACCAGCACTAGAAGGGGATGGGAGACTTTACCAGTGAGTTTCTCAGACAATTGCTGATGGCAGAAGAATGTGGAGACTCTGGGATCATGGGTTTCATTGCAGGCTCTGGAGGCGAGTGGTTTCTTTTTAATGGACAAAGACTCTTCTGCCCATTCCCCACAAACATGACCCATTCTGCCCTTCCCCCTCTAACCTATGCGAGTCCTGTAGACCCCCCACACTGGCTCTTATCCCAGTCCCATTCTGCTCACCTAGTCAATCCCAGTGTCCACTCTTCAGGCTTCTGATCCCAATCCCAGGCTCATGGCCTAGTAGGTCCTACTCTCACACATCTCCTACCCCAAAACTCCCCCACACCCAGTCCTAGTTTTCTGCCCTGCTCCCAGACCCAGTCTTCTCCTTGCCCAACCATTCCCAGGTCCTTTCCTGACTCCCTGATCTGTCTGTCTCTCCCTGCAGCCTCTAGTCACCCACACACTCACATTCCCCATCCCTGATGCTTCCCAGTTCCAGTCTTCATTCCTGTGCTTCTCATCCACTCTTACCTCCCATGGTTCCTTATCCCAGTCTCTTTGCACAGCCAATCCCAGTTCTCACCTTGCACTCCAACTCATTGTCTGATCTGTCTCTGCTCCCTTCACAACCTCCTTCTCTCTGCCCCATTGTTTCCTAGTCCCAGTCTCCTTTCATCCAGTCTCAGTCCTTCCCCCTACCCACACACACACTCTTTCTTCCCCCACCTGTTTTCCTCTCTGACTGTGAGACTGAGTCTCCTTGCACAGCAAGTTCCAGTCTCCTCCCTGCAGGGTCCTTGTCCCAACCTACTCCCCCAGACCTCCCCTACAATGCCTTGGGTTGGGCTCTTGTGGCCTCTGCATTTGAATCAGATGGCCTCTTCCTCCTCCACACTGGCAGGGGTGCACTGAGAGCACAGGAAAGGCAGATGCCCAGCTCTCAGTTCCAATGTCCAGTCCCACTCTGCCTGGAGCAGTCGGGAGCAGCCATAACCTCATAGCCCTGCGCTTGAACATGCTCAGCAGCTCTGTGGGGATGGCACATGCACAGCCTAGTCAAAATTAGGAGCTCTGAGAGGCTCAGATATGCTCAGTGATTCCAGAATTTAGCGAGTCTCTACTGTGCAAGTACAAACTGTGATTTTTCAAAGGCTTCTCCCTGGTCAAATCTGGGCAGATAGTCACAGGGATGGTAAAAGGCACATCCTGACACAAAGGACACCCGTTGCCAAATGTCAAGTCCCTGGTCCAAATAATGGTGGCCTCGAGTTTCCAAAGAAAAGATTGCTAGAATTCTTTTAATATTGAAAAACTGTATTTTTCTCCAGTCTTGTTCTGAACTATTTTGGCTAATACCTGCTATGGAAAATTTCAGCCCAAACAGTTAAAGTTTTGCAAAGTTATAAGTAACCAAAACAAGGTCTTAGACCGGGAAGTGTCGGGCAACCTTAATAATAGGTGGTGCTATTAACCTTGCCTATAATATTGTACGGGTTGTCATTGCACAAAGACGTATTTGAAGGTCGGGATGAGTTAAATTAGTGAATCAATCATCTAGTGACCTGCACTCTTAGGGATAAAAGCTTTAAGAAGCTGTTTTCAGATCCCAGGATAATGAATGGCATTGTAAGCTGGGGTTTTCACCTGTTCCAGTGGACAGCAAATTGTAGTGTTTAGTTCTCTCCACTGTCTCTGTGGATGGATGCTGTTGGATCTGAGTTCAGAAAAGTAATCGCTGTGATAGGGTTAGCAATGATGGAAGAGCAAGTGTAATGCTGGTGAGAAACAAAAGTAGTTAAGAGAGTGGGCACAGACAGTTGCAGGTGCTGAAAGACAGTTATGGGGACATGGTTAGCAAATGAGGCAATAAACTATGTAGAATGCAGGAATGGCTGGATCTAAAAAGGACTGCATGACAGATGAGGAAGGAGAGGTGACTTTAGTGTAGGAGAGGCTTATGTTTGTGTATATATTATAGATAAACAGAAAATATAGATTTGTAGTGAGAGTCATTCGAAAAGTTACACTTACATTAGCATTCTTATTTCGAATGTCAATTTGATACTCAAAGCAGTGATCTACATTTCCTTCCATGTGGCTTGGCTGGGGCCGTTTCCATCGCACTATACACTCTGCTCGGTCTTCAGAACAGTTTACTGTGATATTTAATGGAGGAGTGAGTATTTCTAGAATAAAATAATCATTATTACATTAGCTAAAGAATCAGCTTTTGATAAAGAATCAGTTCACATTTGGAATTATATCTTTGCAACCATAAGGGCTAGAAACAGGTTTTTTAAAAAAGAAAGATAAAAGCTTATGTTCTGGAGCACAGCTCTGAAATGAATGCAGGCCCTTCTCCCAGTGAAGAATGGTTCACTCTCTACTT